CTCGGGCCTTGCAGAGCCCCGGGTGAGAAAGGGTCGCTCGTCCTCCCCGTGCCCGGGGCCGGCCGGCCCGCCCCCTCGTTATTCCCCTCAACCCCCTGGAGGAGGCAGTGGCATCATCCCCATTTTATAGGCTACTGGCCTGTACCGTCTATTTTATAATCAAGCTCGTCTGAGACGCCCGCCGTCTCGCAGCGGAGCCAGGACTGCACGGCGCAGGTTAGACCCCTTTCCTGTTGGGGAGATGACTTGACCCTCAGGCCAACCTCTCTCAGCTCAGCAGGCCTAACGCCAAGGGAGATGGTCATTCTCAGGTTGGAACCTCAGTTATCTTTCCTCCTGCCCCTCCCCCGCACACCCCTTCATTTCCCTCGTCTTCTCCTTGCTATCTTTTTTGGGCCAACCCATCTTTGCAGTCCCACTGCCACCATCTTTCAGTCTCATTGTCACAGACCCGTGTTATTGCAGTAACCTACAATCCTGACTGCCTTTATTTCACATGCCACTCCACTACCCTTGCATCAAGGCACTTCCTTGTTTGATAAACCGTATGTAGTCTTTTTTTGTTTTTTAATCCTCACACGAAGATATTTTTTTCCATTGTTTTTTCAGAAACAATGAAAGGGAGAGAGAAACATCGATTGGTTGCCTCCCACACAGGACCCGACTGGGGTTGGGAATCGAGCCTGCAACCGAGGTACGTGCCCTTGGCTGGGATCGAACCTCAGAGCCTTCAGCCCCCTGGCCAATGCTGTAACCACTGAGCCAAGCTGGCCAGGGCAACCCAATGTAGCCTTTAAAACTAAAACTGTAAGCTCAAGTCAAACGCTTAAGCGTGACATTTAAGGCCACTTGAAACTTGGCTTCAGCCCATCTGTCTAACCTGATTTCCCTTGGTTCCCTAAGTAGAGGGTACAGACTGGTAGCTACAATTGGAAATTTTGTCTCCCACAAAGTGTCTTCTTAAAATTTGAGTTGATATTTATTTCTAAATTGGGTGATTTCATTTAAAAAGCCCATAATTCCAGGTTCTTTTGAAACATTGGAGCTGGAAACAGTTGGCCTGTGTCCTTGCATCAGAAACTGGTTTAAACTGAGAAGTAGCTGCTCCCTTATGTAGGGCTGTGTCTCCCAGTTCACCTTAGTCTCTTTTAGTCCCAAGTCCTTGTCTCTAAGCTTGAGGATCAGCTGTTGTGCTTGCACTGGTTTTTTTCATAAAATAGAGAAACAGGTTTTGGTTTCCATATCTCTATCAAAAGTGCAAAAAGGAAAAGTAGACCAAGAGGGCTGCATTGCGTGCCTGGCCAGCGTGGCTGAGTGGTTGAGGGACAACCTATGAACCAGGAGGTCATGGTTCAATTCCAGGTCAGGACACGTGTCTGGGTTGCAGGCTTGATCCCCAGGAGGGGGCGTGCAGGAGGCAGTTGATCAATGACTTTCTCATCATTGATGTTTCTCTCTCTCTCTCCCCCTCTCCCTTCCTCTCTGAAATTAATAGAAACTTTTTTTTTTCTTTAAGAGGGATGCATGTGTAAAGACGGGGAGAGTAAGCACCCAGCCTCCTTGACTTAGTTGCTTTTCTTTATGGACCCCATAGCTATTTGAATTTTCTCTTCAGGCCCTACAGGAACCTTGCAAACAGCTAGATTAATGCCTCACAGCTTGAAATGAACCTCACTACCATATCTTTGCACCATCTCCGCAGAGTAAATTCTATTCAACAAGGTCCGTGGCTTTCCCTGACAACCAACCGTCCAAACAACTCCATCCATTCATCTCATCCACATTTCTGGAGGCCAGGCACTGGGTTAGATGTGTATGCCCAAGCCACCACCATCACTCCCTCCTCTGGACTTCTGTGGCTGTGCCTGAGTCGATGCCTTACACGTGGTAGGTGATCAGTAAATAATTATCAATCGGGTAACTGGCACAGTCACAATACATCACTCTCCTAGTTAGATTTTAAGATCTTTGAGAGTGGGGTTCAAAGGGTTTCCATCTGCACTGCCTTAGCAACTAGCACAGTGCCTGGCACATAGCTGACACTTGGTAATGTCTGAGAAAATACGGGCTATGAGGGGGTGCCTCAGACAAGCAATAGATACCAAGGTTCAGTCATGTCCCACAGCTGGAAGCATCACTCCACTACCTCATCCCCGAGCCTTAGTGGTGCAGAGGAAGGGAGAGGCAGCCCTAGAGATCAGAGGCCTTACTCAGTCCTAAAAGTGGGGAGCACTTCGCAGCCACCTTGACCTGGAGGCTCTGGTCAGGATTCAGCTGAAGTTACATCCAGGACCCAGCTGTATTCATATGACCTTGTGAGAGGAAATCCAACCTGATTCTGATTCTGAATTCCAGGCTCTAGAATAACAATAGTTCTCATGTACTGAGGCACTCTCAGAGCCAAGCACTGCCAAAGGCTTAGTATCCATGGCCTCTTTCCAGCCTCACCACTGCTTTGGAGTCAATACTGCATCTCCTCTTTGCAGAATGAGAAGGCTGAGGCTCCAGTGCCTGAGTAGCTTGCCCAAGGCCAATAGTAACAGGCTGAACCAGGAGTTCAAGTCCATGTGGACTGATTCCAGGGCCCCCCGTGTTTAGTGCTGTGTTCCTTCCGAACATCTAAGGCTGAAGAGGGATGTTGGGCAGGACCCAGAGACTCAGCTGTCAGCTAATTTGGGCTCTAGGTTATGTGCCAAGTAGTAAACCTAATGCAAATGCCAACCCTCAGTGCCTTTTCGCTCATTTTTTTCTTACATTCTTTTTTAACTCCCTACCTAAGGACTTAAAATATATATCTTTAGAACCCAATAAACTCAAAAAGTCCAAAAAGAACACGTCAGATTTTTAAAAATCAAATTGACACTGTAGCTTCAAACTTGATTAACAAGCCTATGTTGACAGGAGGAAGTCACAAGAGGGCAAAGCAGCGTCCCAAAGAAAGGGCAGAGAGGGAAAGCGGCAGTGAACTGAACGCCCACCGTGCCAGGGGCTGACAGATGTTTTCCTATTTCATCTCGCTGAATCTTACAAATATGAAGGTACTATCATTTTATTGTGCAGAATTGGGAAAGGAAGCTTTAAAATATTATGCCATTTTGCACAAGTTATACTGAGGTCTAGAGCTTGGAGCAGAAGCCGGTCCTGGCTCTCAGGAAGGTGCCTGCATTCATCCTCTCTTCTGTGTCTCTGTGTGGAATGGTCCAGTCAAAGAAACTGTTGACTTATGAGTTATGGGTCCATCTAACTTTAGTCCCTCATGGCCTAGACGTCATTCTAGACCTCTCTCTCCTTGTATTCCAGGTTTTTTTTAGATGGCCCCATATGAGGGAAATTTTAAAAAGGCCTCTTTATCTCCCTTGCCTCCTAGCTATCTATGAATCTGTCGGGTTTACAAAATACTCTTTTAAAACTTTCCCTTTTTATTACAAAAGTCCCCCACACATAGTAGGTTCCTTCCTTCCTTCCTCGCTCCCTCTCTCCCTTCCTTCTTCCATCAGCAAATACATATGAGTCCCTACTCTGGGCCCTTCTAGGCACTGAAAAGAATGGTTGTGAACAAAACAGATAAAAATTAAAACCCTAAAATAAAAATTCCTGCCCTTACAGAGGTTAAATTCTAGGAAGACAGAGAAACAAAATAAGACAAAAGTGGGAAAGGGGGCTAGGAAGTGTCAGGGCCAGGGAAGGTGGTGAAGTTTTGGCTGAGGAGGCCAGGGAGACTCTGAGGTGAACTTGAAAAGACTTGAAGTAGGTGTGTGACAGTCAACTGCGGGCTGCTCGCTCCAAGAACTCCTCCAGCAAGAAGATAGCCTAGACCTGGAGGAAAGCTGCTCAAACACTACCTGTCATCCTTGAAGTAGTTTAGGAGGGAAAAATCACACAGATCGAAGTTGATTATTTCCCTTCTCAACAGTCCCTTTTGTTCTTCCTGATTTTGCTCTAGATGGTTTCTCCCTTCTTCAGTCTCCCACAGGACTCACCCCTATTCTGTCCAGTCTGTCCTTCCCTTCTATATCCCAACTCCGTCCAGGGTAGCCAGGAAAGGAGGTGGCAGCTGCAGCAGGTGAGCAGGGGAACTAGCATGCTTCCTTCAATGATACGGATCTAGGCAGAGTGTAAAGTGGTGGCTGGAGCACGAGGTGGGCAGCCCTGGGGCTGACACACCTGGAGATCTGAGGAAGCATCTTCAGGAGCAGATGGCCCAGAACTGCCACCCAGGTCTCCTGAAAGTGAGAGGATGTAAACACATAGGATTTTTTTTGGTTTGCTTTTGGGTATGTCTCCTTTGTGGTAATAGCTTCGTTGAGAAAAAAGTCACATATTGTACTAGTCTATTCACAGCGCTGTACAATCATCACCATAATTTTCAAACATTTTCATCACCCCCCCAAAATAAACTTTGTATCTGTTAGTTAATTCTTATTTCCCCTCAATCTCCACCCCACCCACTCCCACCCCAACTCTAGGTCACCACTAATGTACTGTATTTGTAATTTGCCTATTCTGGACATTTCATATAAATGGCATGTTTTGTTTTTGGCTTTACTTGACTTTTTTTTTCTCATTTTGGAATGTTGGTGGGTGGCCACTGAAGAATATTATGAAGGGGGTTTGGAACATCAGAAGCTGAGGAGCTCGCCCTGACCGGGGGTTCAGTAGGCTAAAAGGACATCCTGATACACCAAGGCTGTGGATTCGAACCCCAGTCAGGGCACATACAAGAAACAACCAATGAATGTATAAATAAGTGAAACAAGAAAGCAATGCTTTTCTCCCTCTCTCTCTCTAAAATCAACTAAAAATAAAGGTGAGAAGCTCTTCTGGAGAGATAAGGGCAACAAAAAGAAAAAGCAGAAGATAACTTGCTTATGTTTTATTTTTTTATTGCTCTATTTCTGCTTTGTAAGTTACCCCAAATGTCCATAGGATAGGAATAGCAAGTAAATGGGAGTGGGAAGAGTTATAGTCAGAAAACCTGGGTTTCCCCCTTATATAAGCAGCCTGATTTAGCTGCTTTTAAATTTTTCTGTAAAATGAGGGGCTTAAAGTATAGAGGAGTAGTCCACCCTCCTCTCCAGCATCATCTCCTGAGTTGCAGGCAATCAGCCTTTCCAGTATCTGGTGATGTCCCTATTTTATTTTTAGGTGCCCTTCTAGACTTTTCCTGCCATTCCTGGGACTTCTGGGTAAAGAAAGCAATATGAATTGCTTAAAATTTGTATAACATGTTATACATTTACAAAGCCTTTACACATGTTGTCAAGGCTTTTTCACAGTTAGGAGGAACTAGAAGGGACCTTAGAGGACATCTAGTCCAATACCTTCACAATGAGATGAGGACCGAAGCCTGAAAATAGGATGTGACTTGCCCAAGGCCACCCACGCAGCAAGTGGGTGCCAGAGCCCCGGCTGCTCTGGGCTTCCCGATCATAATCATTTACACTTGATTAGGAGGAAGCCGAAGCCCAGAGACTTTTATCGGGCCTGTCAGACGGGGCAGGCTTCTTGGAGATCATCTGTGGAGTCCAATCCCTTTTTTAACCGGCTGAGACGAATGCCGGCCCTGGGCTGAGGTTTTTCGGAATTTACTGGACCTGGATCCAGACCTCCAGACTCGCACGGCATCCTGCGTGAATAACCGGGGAAGCTGTGATCGCAGGGGACCCCGGGGTCAGAGACATCTCTCCCAGCGCAGGGTCGGCGGATTGCTCGGCGCAGGGCCCAGGTGTCGCTGCCTTTGGGGTCCCCTCCCCAGGCAGAAGCCGGCTGGTCCTCTCGCAACCAGCCCCGGAGCAGCCAGGCGTTGGGGGCGGGGCCCGACGGCGGCGAGCCAATCCCGGGCCTCGCCGTGATAGGGCGGGAGGTCCGCGTTCTCACCCCGCCCATTTTCCTCTCCGCCGCTGAAACGCTGCGCGGTGACCTAGGCAACGGGCCTGGCTTAGCCTCCATTTGCTAAATAAGCTGCGTCCCTGCCCTCTTCGCGCAACTGGACCGAAAGCGAAGTCCTTTAAAGGGCACAAAGGACGGAGGTTCCGATTGGTTGGCGAGCTGGCGCGCTGGGCGCTGCGGCGCGACTCGCCCGGGGTGGACGCGGGGAGGCCGGGAGGCGCACCTTTGAGGAGCGGAGCGGAGCGGAGACAGGACTTGAAAATTCGGTGTTTTCCGTTCAAAATAACGGATCTTCCAGGTGTGAGTGAACGTAGTGGGAGTCCAAGAACCCCCGGGCCCCACCATCCGATATTGTTAGTTACACTTTCTTGATAGTAGTATTGCGAGGAATGCGGGCATTTAATGTTTAAGTTTAACATTTCTTGAGCGGCTGCTGTGTGCCAGACACGGTTCTAAGTGTTTGGGCTCAGTGAACAAAAAGGTTCCTGCCTTCTTGGAAGTTTGTGTTCTAACAAGAGGAGAAAATACATCACCTAGTGTGTTACAAGATGGGACAAGGCTATGGGGGGAGGGGGGAGTAGAGCTGCGGTGGGCAGTTAGACATGAGCAGAGCAAGGACGGTGGGCAGGTACAGAAGGGCCCCAGGGCCGAAGCCCCAGGTGCCTAGAAACAGACAGCTGTAGGGTGGGACCTCAACCCCAGGGTAACCTTTCCTGCCCTAGCCTGTCAATGGTCAAGTGGTTTGGACCCCCTGGCCTTTAGATAATATGTAGGCTTCAGTGTATTTCAGCTCCAGGCCCAGAAACGCAACAAAACCAGCCACTGCCTGACCCCAGGACCACCTGCACTGGATAATGACCCCCCCCCAACCAATCAATTAGTGAAGACCTAGATCCTGACAGGACACACCTGGAAAGCTGATGAATATTCTATTGAGATCTTCCCCTGGGACCTCCCCTAAAATCTTCACCCTTAAAACCCTTAGGATGGAGGACCCAGTGGGCTCTCCCTCCCAGGAGCATACCCGTGTCTAGGGTTCCTCTCCCCTTCTCCCTCCCCCGGCTCGTTACTGTTAGCTTTCTCACTCCCAAGCTCCAAGGACCCTCCCTTTACCTCTATAACTTGTATGCTCAGCCCATTTCTTCTAGGAATTACTGTTCCTACCTCCATGATTTTATAAATAAATGTTCTCTTATATTTGGAGTCTTGGCTATGAATTCTTTCCCAGCCAGAACTCAAGTAAGGGAGGTTGCTGAACCCAGGTCTGGTCCAACCCCGTGGGTCTAACACCTATTGCCGTTCCAGCCACCTACAAATGAGTAAGTTAATTAGATGGAGCGGGTTACATCATTAAAGAGGTGGCTGGTTAGACACCAGTGAGAAAGTGAGATCTGAAAGTAGAATTGCAGGCAAAATGGTTAGCCAGTGAGCTCTCTGGGAGCAGAGCATTCCAGACGGACCAGCTGACTGGTCTTATAGAAGAACAGTGGGGAGAAGAGAGTGACTGGAGCATTGTGTGTAAGGGGAGAGTGGTAGCAACAAGTTGGGGGTAAAGGGAGTGCGGGTCTTGTACAGTCTTGGATGCTTAGCTGTGTTAGCATAGTAAGAAGCTAGGAAAATTCCAGGACAAGTGGAACAGGGAAACTGAGACAGATAGTTAAACAGCAGGTGCAACCACCTGGTAAATTCTATCTTCCCTAAACCAAGGACACTTGAGAGTAAATGGTTTGTATTTCTCCTCCCCAGCCAGAGGGTAAATAGCTTAAATCACACCACTCAGGGAGTCAGATAACAGAAACCCAATTAGTGCTATTTGCAAACCACACCCAAGGACAGACAAATTAAGAGAATAAACCTCATTTTGGCACATTAGCATAAGGGTGATGAATATTCTATTGACCCTCCTCTAAGACCTCCCTTAAGTGCCCAGCCTTTAAAACCCCTGAAAATAGAGATCCCAATGCACTCTCCCCCATGGGGAGCATGCCAGTATCATCTCCTTCCCCCTTCTTTCCTCTGAGGGGACCCCACGAGACTTGCAACCAGGGGAGCAATGGGCAGAGGCAGCTCGTCCCAGGCTAACCCCCTAAACCTGTCTCCAAGGCCCCCTTTCCCCCCTTTTCTCTGACATCCCAGTGAGCCAAGGCAGCCTGGCCTAGGCTCTCCTGTTGCTTCTATGCCCGTCCTTGTTTCATTTTCCCAAGTATATTTTTGCTGCAGTCAATAAATTCTTGCTTTCTTTTCTACACTTTGTCTCTTGATTGAAATCTCTCTCTCAAGAAGTCAAGAACAGCCCAGCCCGACATGGCTCAGTGATTGAGCATCGGCCTAGGATCCAGGAGATCGTGGTTCAGTTCCCGGTCAGGGCACATGCCCGGGTTGCGGGCTCGATCCCCAGTCTGGGGCGTGCAGGAGGCACCTGAACAATGACAACTCTCTCATCACTGATGTTTCTCTCTCCCTCTCTCTCCCTTCCTCTCTCTGAAATCAATAAAGATTTTTNCCACACCCAAGGACAGACAAATTAAGAGAATAAACCTCATTTTGGCACATTAGCATAAGGGTGATGAATATTCTATTGACCCTCCTCTAAGACCTCCCTTAAGTGCCCAGCCTTTAAAACCCCTGAAAATAGAGATCCCAATGCACTCTCCCCCATGGGGAGCATGCCAGTATCATCTCCTTCCCCCTTCTTTCCTCTGAGGGGACCCCACGAGACTTGCAACCAGGGGAGCAATGGGCAGAGGCAGCTCGTCCCAGGCTAACCCCCTAAACCTGTCTCCAAGGCCCCCTTTCCCCCCTTTTCTCTGACATCCCAGTGAGCCAAGGCAGCCTGGCCTAGGCTCTCCTGTTGCTTCTATGCCCGTCCTTGTTTCATTTTCCCAAGTATATTTTTGCTGCAGTCAATAAATTCTTGCTTTCTTTTCTACACTTTGTCTCTTGATTGAAATCTCTCTCTCAAGAAGTCAAGAACAGCCCAGCCCGACATGGCTCAGTGATTGAGCATCGGCCTAGGATCCAGGAGATCGTGGTTCAGTTCCCGGTCAGGGCACATGCCCGGGTTGCGGGCTCGATCCCCAGTCTGGGGCGTGCAGGAGGCACCTGAACAATGACAACTCTCTCATCACTGATGTTTCTCTCTCCCTCTCTCTCCCTTCCTCTCTCTGAAATCAATAAAGATTTTTAAAAAAAGTCAAGAACAGAGGTCTTCTCATTGTTTCCAGGGTAACAGTTGTTACTCTGACATAGGGAGCCATTGCAGGGTTTTGAGCAGAAGAGTGACATCATCTGACTTATATTTTAAAATAACCATGCTGGCTGCTGTGTTGAGAATCAGTGGAGGGGGGTGGCAAGGATAGCAGTAGGGAGACCTGCTAGGTTATTGCAATAATGCATACCACAGTATGTAGGAGATGATGTTAGTTTGTACTGGAAGTGGTGAAAATGGTTAGATTGTGCATACATTTTGAAGGTAGAGTTTAAAGGATTCCTCAGAAGATTGGAAACTATCTATGACTTAAAGACAGGAACTGAGCAACTGAAGGAGGAGTTGCTATCAATTGAAGTAGAAAAGGCTGGGAGTGGAGCAGGCTTGGGGTTCTTAGGAAAATCAGTATTTACAAGTGGATGCCCCGCTGAGCGTGGCTCGGCGTTTGAGCAT